AAAACTTGCACCTTAGTATTTGAAGCTTCCTATTACCTGAACCTTCTCACCCTTTGTTCCCTCTAAAAGAAAGCTTAGGGAGACATGTGGCAACTAGGGTGAGAAATGTTGTGCTTCTGTTCTCACTCTTGCATCTATTTTGTGAATAAGTAAAGGATTTTGGTCCCAGAAATGTCAAATCAGGCAGCTTTCACCAGCTAATTTTTAATGATTTTTAGCAAAGTATGTCAAGGACAGTGAGTGAGGCAGTTTCCCCTCTGAGCAGCCAATCACAAAATGACCTTAGATGTATTTGGAGAGCTGAGGGTACAAATTTACTGACTTTTCACGGCTTCCTTAGTCCTGATAGGTCTGACACCAAGACCTTTGAATCCTGCTTGCCATTATCAGATTAGATCCAAATGTGATCAAAAAAGTTCCAGTCTGAATCAGATCCAGTATACAGACTGAATATTAACCCTATTGCTGCTTGGCATAAATAATAGAAACATGTCTGTTTACAAGATGTCATAATTTAAAATTAAGCCTATTACAATGTTTGGAATAGGGAGACTGACATTTTTTAGCATAAGTATTTTTGCGTTTTAATCATTTAATAGGACATTTTTGACTTACAAAGCACACTTTGCAACTGAAAGTTGCAAATCAAACTTAAGTTTTCCATAATGTATAAGGATTAAGGATAGACCTACACATAGATTTCTGTGAGGTTTGTGTTTAATTTTGATTACACTGTGCTTTGGGTACCATTTTGTACATAGCCTATTCGTTAGGGGCTGGAAGGGGCCTTACAGATAATCAGGTCCAGCCCCCCTGCACTTCACTGGTATCAATTAGTTTCTTTTTTGTTTTGTTAGCCTTTCAGAAAACTGCAGAGGAGATCATTTAAAAAAAAACCTATGAAAAAATGCACAACTATAAAAATTGGTCAGGGAACTGTAGTGATGTACAGTAACTGAAATGTTAATTTTCATTTGTTTTTGTTAATTGACAAGTTAATGGATTGCCATGTTCAAACATTGCCTTATTGACAACTTGCATGTAGTCTCAACTAGGAACAGAAATTACACATGGACTGCTGTAAGTGAATGGAAACCAGTTCAAATCTGTAACACAACAGAAGTTCAGTGCACATAAACTGTTTTCAAAATTGCTGAAACCAGTTTAAGATAAGCCTGGATGGATGTAGTATCAGACTTAACTGATTTAGGTTCAATCAATGTATTGAATTTCTTTCCCAGATCTTCTCCAGATTCAAGTTAACTCACATTACCCCAGCATCCCATGATGCTTTGCACCTCACTGCAAATTCTCCCTTTTAGTGTGGGTGAGCTAGCCATGGTCCAAGCTGTCTGGTCCAGCCAAGCAGGGAGGCATGCTCTAGCAACCCCAGCTTCTGGCCTGGGTCACTGCAGGCATGTGGCTGCATTTCTAGAATCAAAAGTGAATGTCTGTTCACTTGCTTATTGGTTCAATCTATGCAGTTTAGATTAACCTGTGAAGATTAAATGGATTGAGTCTCCAGCTTTTTGACTGTGTTTACTTAGCCTTGCAGATGTCAGTTGTAAAAAACAGTTTATAAACTCTATTTCAATCAGGTGTATCATGTATAATTAAGACTGGGTGAACAGATCACATAGAACATGTAACCTGAACAATATCAAGGTGTTTTTTGAACCAAATGTGTCTGCTGATTTGTGTTTCCTAAGCACACTAGTCAGCCTGGGCACTTGGTGTTCAGATAGCTCTAACCACACTGGTTTAGCAGAGACACATAGCAAGGGATCAGCACCTAGTTCTAATGATGTTTCATAGCAGATCCAAAACCTCCAAGTGAATCTCCAGGGGTTGGTTTGCTGCCAACCTCTGTTAATGGACTCTGAAGATATTGCTCAGTTAATAGACCTTTCAACTACTAGTGGGCGCCACTATAACAAACCACATGTAAAACATACATGCATTCCCTTGGTGGTGATTTATGCTGTTTAAAGGGATGGGGGCGGAACAAGCTGTTAAAAAGATGAAGAAATTGAAAGCTCTCCTAACTGCTGTATTATCCACCTGACATTCTCTAAATGCCAGTCATTAATTACTAATGTATTGAAAATAAGTACAGTTATCCAATTCAGATTATGTTACATCTGTGAGAAGAATTTTTTCATGAGTTTAGCATTCGCCATCCAAATCAGTCCCTTTTCCCACCGTTGTTAAAGAGCAGGGCTCCAAAACACTGTTCTATTTTATCTCGTTTAAATCTGTTTCCCCAAAAGGTATTTCTAAGATGTGTCCTTCCTACTTTAAACCTAGGGTTAAGATTGAGTTTACTTTGTGACTATTAAATTTCAAATTCAGCATTCAATCTGCCTCTTCCATGGAGATCAACCAACAAAAGCTGCATATAAATATCCAATGGCAGAATGTGTACATAGACAATAGCATACTTTCCCAATTGCTGAGCCACTAGCAAGAAAAGATAGAAACTGGTTTGTAATGTAGACTGCCCCTGAAATCTTTTCACTTAGCAACCTTTCACTGAACTCAGTGGGAGTTTCATGTGCAGATTCTTGGCAAGGGACAAATCCTCAGCTGATATAAACTCCATTAAAGTCAAGGGTGTCACACAAGTTGATAACTTGCCCCCAAATCTGCCCTGCAATATATGTTAAAGCATTTTTCTACAGCTCAAGGCATGAATTTAAAACCTGATCTTTTCAGGACCCATCCCATAGGCTGCCCCCAAATTAGCCCAACTGTAAATGAGTTAAGACTATGGAGTCAAAATGGCCTGACATGATGCTAGCCTCACGCTTCCCTTGTGTACTGTTGGCTACTAAAACTGCTATGCCTTGACCACACTGGCCAATGGGCTGGTGGACTTGTGTGGACACTTAGACAGGAGGTTTGGTGGAAAAGCAAAGGAATGCACTTCTTCACTCTAATGTTAATTGGTTGAGGAGACCTTTTTTAAAAGGTGCAACCCAAGGAGACATGAAAAAAATAAGGATTTTTTTCCCCTCTAAATAAGGCCAGGTGACCCACAGATGTTCTTAGAACAGTGGTCTTAGTGCCCTTCACTTGAGGATCTAAAAGCATCTTTTCTTCCAAAGATTAACAAATGGAGACTCACGATACATCTGCAAGGAGGATATTGTTTCCATTTCTCACGTGATGCGACTGAAAAACAGAGATACTTGGGTTGACATTTCCTCAAAGTGAGATACGCTTAAGGCTAATTTTCAAAAATGCTAATCCCATGCAGCTCTGCTGCTGCTCACAACCTCTGAAATTCAGGTGCTAGAAGCCTGACAATGCAATGGTGACACATAACAACTGTGCAATACCGAAAGCAAAACCTAGGTCCTATAATTCTGGGTTCTGACCCTTAATTTCAAAATAATCCGTCCATACAGTTCAAAGGCAAAATAAAATGTATGTTCTCTCTGCTTCTTCCAACTCGGCCCTCAGCAATTAACGATCAAAGAGACAGATTTAAGAAGGGTTTATTGATCTGCTTGCTAAGCTCACAGTTTTGCTTCTTCTCATACCCACAAAGAGATTATCGCTAAATTAAATTTTATTGCCAGAAATCTTTGCTATTAGGTTTTCTGTTGTAGAACAAGTGCTGAAATGCAGTGAGAATCATTTGTATCACCTGCCTTTTTCCTGTTGTTTTGTTTTTTTAGCATACAACAGTTTTGCCCTTTGTATTAATCGAGATGAGAACAGCACATCATCAGTATCCCAGCAGGAGCAGTGGACTGGCTGCAGTATGCACCTTCTCCATTGGCTATATTTTATGGTAAGGACTGTACATGCTGTGTTTTCATATTGTATTGGGGTTTTGTACTGCTAAATTTGGGCACATATTTCATTATGGATATAATCACTAACAGATTCACACTGCATGCCTCGTTTGGTCCAAGACCTGGGCTTTGTCTGGTTTCCCCAGATGCTTATATTTTTAGAAAGTATATGCCAAACCTCACACAACAGGAATTTGTTGAACAATCCCATGTAAGCAGTGGTCTTTCCAAGGCTACATTTTTCAATCTTTTTTCAAAATAAATGTTTTGCTTGGACCCTGATTTTATTGCTTAGGGTTTTTTGTTCTATCAAACAAAATTGAGAGTAGTCAAATGATTTCCTGCAACAACATTTTAAGCTCCACCAGAAAAGATAAAACATAGGTTTCAGTTCCTGGATTCTTGCTATTAAATTGATTATAGAATTATTATAAACAACTTGCAATTTATTTTGATATATGCATATATTTGGGGGGAAACTAAATTTTAAAAATGACCTCTCATTAGCAACACTGACCTCTACTTTTATGACCACGTTTCCATTCAAATGTCTGCCTTATCTGACAGAACATTTTATTCATTGACTTTGTTTTCACAATGCCTTTTTTAGTCCTTCTGGCATTTCAGTTTTTTCATTAAAACATTTGTTTTAATAACAAGCTTCCTCCATACTATATTTTGTATATATGTCTGTG